ACGTTATGCAGAGTTGCAGCTAATTGTCGCTGAATACCTTCCTACTGTGATCGCCGTACAGGAGACACGACTCACCAAAGTACAGATTATGAACAAATTCCATCGTGCCGAGTATAAGTGGTCAATCCGACCAGGACCTTCTTCCAGCTCACAGAACGGAGTAGGACTCGCTGTCCATCACACAGTCCCGCATAAATTTCTTCGAGTGAACGCAGATTTACAAGCGGTAGCTGCCCAAGTGGATCACCCAATCAAAGCCACGTACGCATCAGTCTACATTCCATGCCACATGCCCCCTAAACAGTTGGAAATAGAACTGGAGCGTCTTGTGTCTGAACTACCACCACCCATTGTCCTTATGGGTGATTTCAATTCGCATAGCTCGCTTTGGGGCAGCTGTAAAAACGATGCAAAAGGAGCGATTGTTGAAAACATTACAGCTCAACACAACCTTACCATCCTCAATACCGGGGAACACACGCGACTAGACCCTAGAAATGGTGCTACCTCCGCAATCGATCTTACGATCGCATCACCAGAAATCGTTTCAAAACTACAGTGGCGGGTAGACGCAGATAACCGGACGAGTGACCATTTCCCTGTGATCGTCAGCTCATCAATTACAATGCCGAAAACGCGTTGTCGAAGGCGATGGATCTACGAACAAGCTGATTGGCCAGAATATGAGAATATTCTGCTAGAGCGTATCCACCGAAACCAAACCTACTCAGCTGAAGAACTAAGCGAGAATATCGTTTATGCAGCAGAACATTCAATACCTAGGACATCGGGAAGGATAGGCAACAGAGCAGTACCTTGGTGGAACAACGAAGTCAAAACAGCGGTAAAGACGAGGCGAAAAAAACTACGTGCACTTAAACGCATCAACGATGATGACCCCCGCAAACAACAAGCATTGAAGGAGTTCCAGATGGCGCGCAACGCATCGAGAAAAGTGGTCAAGGAAGCTAAGAAGACATCTTGGGATACATTCGTAGCTGGTTTCAATCCTCAAACACCCAGCAGTGAAATGTGGCGAAAGGTGAACGCTTTACGTGGTAGAAGAATCTTCATAAATCCAGTGCTAATCGTTAACGAAAATACAATCGATGATCCCGTTCAGATCTCAGAGCACCTGGCTAGTTTCTTTGAATCGGTATCTCAATTTCCAGAATCTGGTTCATCAGTCGATGGAATTGTGAATGAAGACCTCATCAATGACCAGAACGATCCATTCAACAAAGATTTCAGCGTAGAGGAATTCTTCTGGGCGCTAGACAAAGGAGGAAACACGTCAGTAGGACCGGACAATATTAGCTACCAAATGCTCCGTCACTTACCATTCCGTATCAAAATTCAAGTGTTAGAAGCGATCAATAGAATATGGTGTTCCGGTGCTATCCCAGAATCATGGAAAGAAGGGATAGTAGTTCCACTACCAAAACCGGGAAAGGATCCTAAAAAACTAGGCAATCAACGTCCAATCACGCTGTTGAGTTGCTTCAGCAAAACTATGGAGCGTATGATCAACCGACGGCTGGTGGAGTACATCGAGCAACACCGTCACTTTAATCAAAATCAATTTGCTTTTCGAAAAGGAAGAGGCGTGGATACCCATCTGGCTTCGCTAGAGAAAACTATCCGTCAACCTTTTGATGAAGGAAAGCACTGTGAGGTCTTGATGATAGACCTGCAAAAGGCATATGATAAAGCTAACAGAAATAAAATAACGACGACTTTGGTAAACTGGGGCATCAAAGGTCGAATGCTACAGTTCATTATGAATTTCCTAACCAACAGGTGCTTTCGGGTGGCTGTAGGTGATTGCTTGTCGTCACGAAAAACCCAGGCGACCGGAGTCCCACAGGGATCAATCCTTTCTGTTACATTGTTTCTTGTGCTGATGGAATCGGTTTTCGAGAAAATACCTAGAGGGCTACAAATTTTTGTGTACGCTGACGATGTTTTGATTTTGGCTATCGACGAGGATGCAAGGCAGGCTAGGCGGAAACTTCAAGAAGCTGCATCATCGCTTGGGATCTGGGCGGAACAAACACAAATGTCCATTTCGGCAGAAAAATCAAGCTTCATGCATTTGTGTAAGAAGCGTAAACACCCCGTATTACCCCCAGTCTTAATCAATAATACAGAGGTACCTGAAGTGCAGTATACCAGAATCCTCGGCGTTATCGTTGACAGAAGACTAAACTTCAAATGCCATGCAGCATCTACGCGACGATCCACGCAAAACATTTTGAATCTCCTAAAGGTTGTGGGCAACAGAAAGAATGGTGGTACGAGGAAAACTTTGCTACAGATTTCCAATGCGGTACTGCTACCGAAACTCCTTTTCGGGATGACATTTGTCAACGGCGGTAGTAGCACAAACATCCAAAATATGCAACCTCTCTATAACACGGCTATTCGAGAATCCTCTGGGGCTTTCCGAACTAGTCCAATAGACTCCATTATGGCTGAATCAGGACAACTTCCTTTTGAACACGTATTGGTCCTTAACGTTATCAGCAAAACCGTCCGCATGACAGAAAAAATCAGCAAGCTTTTTCCTCCATCATCCGTAAATGAAAACTCAACAGACAGCTGTTTTCCATCAATAAACAGAGCAACAGCGGCCTACACAAAACTCACTGGTAAACCGCTCCCGAAAATCGCCACACTTCACCGCATCGGAGATAGAGCGTGGAACGCCCTATGTCCCAACATCGATTGGTGTATAAAATCGCAATACAAAGTTGGTGACGCACCTGCCAAAGCACAACAGCTATTCCTAGCGACGTGCGCAACAAAGTACATGACATATCAACACATTTTTACTGATGGGTCAGTTACTCATGAACACGTTGGATTCGGGATCGCCTGTGATAATATAAATATTAGCAGAAACCTTCCAAAGGAATGTTCGATCTTTTCGGCAGAAGCCATGGCAATCCTGTATGCCGTCACAAACCTTTGTTCGGAAAACTCAGATGCTGTCATTTTCACGGACTCCGCCAGCGTTCTACAAGCACTACAAAATGGACAATCCCGTCATCCGTGCGTGCAGGCTATTGAGGAAGGTATAGCTAACAAATCAGTGACCTTTTGTTGGATACCAGGACACGTAGGAATAGCAGGAAATGAGAAAGCGGATGCACTAGCCAAAGCAGAAGACTCGGAGGAAGAAAATGGTGGTGGAACGATTAGTGAGGTGCCAAGTGAAGATGTTATTCGTAGCTGTAAAATCAAAATCCGCGAAGACTGGGACCACAAGTGGAGAAACAATAATACATCATTCCTAAGGTCCATAAAATCATCAACTTTGAAGTGGCCGGACAGACACGGGGCGACCGAAAGGAGAGCACTCAGTCGCCTTTGCATAGGTCATACGAAGCTAACACACCAACACTTGTTCAACCAAGAGAGTAATCGTTGTCAAGCATGCGGGGAAGCAGTAACTGTGCCACACATACTTCTAGATTGCAGAGCATACGAGGTTCAACGACAGGAGTGCGGCCTTCGATCAACAATTGGAGATATCCTGAGCCCCGATGAAAGAGAAGAGAAAAAGTTAGTCAAATTCTTAAGACACACTAATTTATTAAATTTGCTGTTACATAGCGATCTAAATTGAAATAAACACTACTTCTTCATGGGATGAATGACCGTAACAGCGGTTAAAGTCCCAAAAAAAAAAAAAAAAAAAAAAAAAATAACATCTTGGCACTACCGATACAGCTGCGGCACACTGAGGTACACTGAGAAAAATGTTGGCGTAAAATAAGTGTGTAGGCAACAACAGATGTTACAAACGGTAACAACACTTAAGGGGGTATTCCCGATCTTTTTTTTCAAAAAATCAAATTTTTTTTTTTCACGTTTTTTTGTACTTTAGACTATATACTTTCATCCCCCCAAGCCGTTTTCCGATCAGCGAATTCGGTGTCCAGGCATAGCTGACTAATGGTAAGAACCCCCAAATGGTTTTAACTAAAGCCAAAACTTTAAACGCGTTTTTCTCGAAACCACATTTTTTTTATCGGGCGAAGATTTTTCTCAGAAACTATAAGAGATATTGACTTGAATCTTTGCGCATTTTGTTCCTTATTAAATTCTTTGGAGCTTCTCCCACTTTCAGCCAAAAATATTAACATTTAACATTGTTTGAAGCACCTTAAAGCTGCAAAAAAGCGGGCTAAAAATCGCCTGTTTTTTCATCTGGCCGCCATTTTGTTAATTTGCAAGATTTTTTGCTGCCAACGGGAGAAGCTCCAGAGAATCTTATGCAGATTATTAATTTCATCACGAAATCTGTTTCAGAAGAAGCCGTTCCGAGAAAAGTCTTCGCCCGTCCAGGCGTTTGCGGCGAACAGGGGTCTGTTTGCCGCCATTTTGTGACGTCAATAATGTCTTTTTTTATGTCGAAAATTTTTTATTTGTAAACTTTAATGTTCAATAAACAAGAATCCCAAAGAGTTAGGCGCATTACTATTCATTTTCCTTGAAAAAAATTAATTGAAAAACAGGCCGAAAAAAGGCAAAAGATTGGGAATACCCCCTTAAATAACAGAAAAGTGCATTCAGATTTTGAGGTGGTTCGTCCAGCAGTAACTGACAACCGAAGCAGGCAATTGAAGCTCCGCTTGTCAAATAACCTATCGCAAGATGCTACATTTTCTCTGAGTTGGCAATCCGGGCCAGATTTGTGATTCATGGATTGAATAATTTTTAATCAAACGACGTTTGAACGGCCAATTCCGGCGGCCATTTGACCGAATTGATCGAAATATTTCAGTGAGTAGAAACGATAGTTTGATAATGTCAAACGCCTGTTGTAGAGAATTTCATAAAATCTATTTTAATCCAATTTGAGAAGAGACGATGAAAAGTAATCAGAAGGAAAGGAAATTAAACTTTGTCGTTCTTTTTAAAAGCTGTTAAGATTTTATTAGTAGGCATCCGACCAAACCTATTGAGTTGCAAATGTGAATAACGGCACGCGTTCAGTCCTTCTTCAAACACTGATACATAAGGTTGAGTTTGGAAATGTCCCGTTCGCTCATGCCTGCCCTCTGTCCAATAACTGCGTTTGGATCCTGCAAACATTAAGCAATAAGTCACATTGCAATTCTACGTATGTAGCAACCCATCACTCACCTTCGGTACAATCGTGGGCAACCCGTTTTTGCTGAACGATAACCCACTGTAGTGCATCACGCTGCCATAGTCGTAGCGCACGTTGAAACTCGTCACCGAACTCTCGTCGTATGCCGCAAAGTTGTTCTCTTTTCCATCCTGAATATTCTCGTACAAAATTTCCACGAAATCATCCCGATCGGTAGCACTTTGCATATGGTAAAAGCCAAGGGCGTGGATAAATTCATGAACAATCGTCCCAATTCGGAAGCAACCCGTATCCACCGCACTCGGATCCAGATGCAACTGCTGCTCACCGATGCCCAAGAAGCCAACATAGGACCAGCAGCCGGATTTTTCGTTTCCAATCACACGAATGTAGTCCCTCTCATCGGTTAGTGGCTTGAATGTCAGACAAGTTTGCGTTTCGATCAGCCGCAATCCCCGATGAATGTGGGCAACCTGTTCAGGAGCTGTTAAAGGTAGCTTAAAATCAGCTGCTCTTTTGGTTAATATTTTATCAAAGACTCACTGAAATGATCCTCAGTAATCACGAAGGGGATAACCTTGTTGGGCCACCGATAGGCCAGGTTAACCCGTCCATTTCGACTGAGCGAGAAGATGGCGTTCTCCTGTTCTTCGGTTAGCACGATGTCACCTTCGAACTGGCCACTGAACTCTTCCTTCAGATCATCCGGTTGCAGACTGCGAAGCCGTTTGACTAGTAAAGTTCGAATCAATAAATATCTACGATCAATTCAGAGTGACGAAATCGATTAAACTCACTATTTTCCGGAGTGTTTTGCCGAAGCCTTCTATTGACTGCCGCTGCTTGGGTGGAGCCTACCGCTACCAGGACGGAAACCAAAACTAAGGCCAATCTCGACATGGTCGATTCGCGTAATTCAGTCATTGCGAGACTAAGCCTTTTATAGATTTTCGGTAGCATTATCGACCACCATTGTCTTAGATAAGACAACGCTTAAGCGAGATTATACTTGGCAAAGCAGGTCGATTTAGCAAATTGATAGGTTTGTTTGAATTGATTGTCAAAGTTCAAGTACTTGCAAATAAGACGCCCGATTAGAAAGGAATTATCAGACACCTTTGACATTTTCGAGCTGGCAATTAAAGTGCCGAACTTCAAAGGTTGTCATGAGTACGTTTTTTTTTTTTTTACTTTGGTTTGTTTTTTCCGTCGATCTTGTTTTCCGTGCTGAGCACCAATGCTACCGACGTGCCAGGAAGGCAGCTCCCACACCTGGACCCTACCTATCGAACCATCAACTCATGAACCGGGGACCAACGGCTTTACTTCCCATCCGAAGGAAGGCGTGATCAGAGATGTTATGCCTCAGAACATCCCGGCGGCGCCGACTGGGATTGAACCCAGGCCTGCTGGGGTGAGAGGTAATCACGCTTACCACTACATCACCGGCACCGTTTATCATGAGTATGTGTTGAGAGTTTTTCAGCGATACATGGAATAAAATCAAACACTACCTCCTGGAATGGTAGTTTGGGGGGCGACACTGCCAAAATTTGAAGTCATTTGGTTCACGGGAACCCCTCGCTCAAATGGCTTGATGTTTGTATGGGGAATATCAACAAAATGTATGGGGGAATGAACCACTTCACATTCGTGGCTCTAGGAGGCGCTGTAGTTGGTCGATTTTCTTCGTGTGCAAAATGTAGAACCTTTGGAGTATTGGGAGCATCTTTGCTCAAGATCGGATGTAAATCCGAGTTAACCCCGAAAAGTTATTACCGTTTGAAATGAACACCACCTGTCTTACTTTCGGGAAGGGCCTAACGCGCGTTGTGCGGTTTTTATTTTTATGAACAGGCAAGGGAACAGGCGTGCAGCAATAAATAGCAATGTTTGCATGGGAATAACTTTTCTGTTTCACCATGAAATTGTCTGAAATTTTCACAGTAAGTATTTTTTTTTTTTTTTAATTGTGGTCTTCTAAATGTAGGAACATATTGGCCAAGTAGTTTCGGATTTATTCCGGATTTCCGAGAGGCCATCGAGAGGAGAAAAGGTAAGTCGTCTAGAACAAGGTGATGCTGAAAATCCACAGCAATAGGCATCTATGGGTAGTGCTGATTTATATTTAACAAAACCAACCCACAACCTGGTTCTAAATACTGAGTGTCCACCGGAAGGCCATCCGGTGACCCGGATCAACCCTAATCTTGATTATTATGTATTGTTGATCAAAGTAGGCTTTGATTATTCATTGCAACTATATTTTTTTTTGTTTATTAATTTATTTGATAAGGCTCAACTGAATTAACTTTACAGAGCCGAGGATTCTTGGTCACTATACAATACATCTTAAAACTATAGTCAAAAGGTACAACACAATAAACACTTTATCTTCCGCTATCCAAAAAGCCTCCTCCATCAGAACTGGAGCCGCTTCCAGTGGTTTCATTGTATGGCAAATTGTTGAACGCCAACGAGGGTCGGAGCGCGTCCATTGTAGCAATGGACGCAAAACGTGGTCAGCACTCACACACTCATCACGAAACGGTTGCTTTCCAAAGTCGACGACGCATCGACCAAACGAACTGCTGATGAAGAACAATGAGGAGGACCACACAATAATGGTTGCTGCCGAGAAAACAGACGATCGCGTAGCACACATCGAGAGTGGCCTGCTTTTGTCGACAGCCGAGTGAACGTATTGCAACTATATGAAATGAAGTAAAATTGTGTTTTTTATATATTAGCAGGTCATTGACTCCGAGTGGTCATAAGATGACCCGCCGAAAGATTCGGAACATGCGTTTTTACAATGCTACGTAAATTTGATCAAAGTAGGCCTTGATTTGTATGGTATGATTTGTATACTATGTGGAATGTAGTAAGATATTAGTGGCCTCCCGGAAGATCTGGAAATCCGTAACATTTTTTGCTTCGAAAATGTTATCAAAGTAGGCCTTGGTAATTCTCTGAATTTATATGCGATGCGGGAAAATTGTTTTTTTGTGATATATTAGCTGGTCATTAGATCCGCGTGGTCACCAGGTCCACCGGAAGATCCCGAACATCCGTAAAATTGATTGTTGTGTAAATTTGATCAAAGTACGCCTTGGTTTGTTCTGATACTTTATGGAATGTAGTAAATTGGTGATTTTTATCATAATTTGCAGCAATGTCAGAAATGCTCACGAACCCCCAGAAAACTTACAACTAACTCAAGGTATCTTCCAAATAAGATTCAAAGTTGTATTTTTTTATCGTGTTGAATCAAGGGGTAAAACCAAGGGGTAAGTCACTCAGCACAGTGTGCCGAAAATAGGTTCGGCACAATTTGGGCACATCCATCGGCACACCTTCGGTACAATCTCGTAGGCATTGGTTGTTCATTACTTAAATTGGAACACTGCCGGACAGCTGTCATTGTAGTTGGTCACATACGTGCTGTTTGACTGTGTTTTTCAGATACATACTCTAATTGAATATACTAGAGGATATCAGACCACACCGTTTGAAAAATTCATGTAAATGTCAGCGAGATATAGCGCCCACCCAAGTAACCAAAAGTTCTGATAAAAGGCTATTTATGGCTTAAGAAGCTTGGTTGGAGGTGGTCTATAGAATTCTAAGCAGCCTAATTTTTAAATCGTTATAAGAACTTGAAAGTTCCGATACCATAATTGAAGAGCATTCTAAGCAGCATCTGGCGGAACTTGGACGGAACTTTTGGAAAATAAATTAAAAAAGGTTTTTGACCTGTACACCAATTCTATATTTAGTTCGCACTTTTATGAAAGTTATTTCTAAAGGCAGGTATTAATGTGTATTGATTTATCAGCATTAGTAGTAGAATTGTAGCTGTTTGAAGAATTAAAGCCAGTCCTTCTGCGCGAGAGCCCCAGCACGAACCGCTGCGTCATCTGAGATATAATAAAGTCCGCTGTTGTCCCGCCTACTGTTGGAGTTTTCAGTGCCAGCTGACTGACTTGAATACGAAACACAACACCTTGATGAATTTTAAATTGGTGTTTTCCCTCATGGTATGCCATCACACTTATGTGCAGAGGTTAGCAATCGTAGATCGCATGTCGAATACACGGGTTCGAATCCAGGAAATTACTTTTTAATTTTTTTATGTTGCATAAATATAAGAATTATGATTTATTCGGGTCACTGATCATTTCATATTTACGTACATTAAATTTTGTTACTAATAAAGACTTGTGCGGATGGCTTCATGTGGCTTGAAAGTTCTGTCGGAACTTTAATTGAACTTTATGGAACTTGAAAGTTATGTCAGAACTTTATTCGAACTTTAAGGAACTTGAAAGTTCTGTCGGAACTTTATTAGAACTTTATGGAACTTGAAAGTTCTGTCGGAACTTTATTTGAACTTTATGGAACTTGAAAGTTCTGCCAGAATTTTATTCGAACTTTATGGAACTTGGAAGTTCTGTCGGAACTTTATTAGAACATGAAAGTTCTGTCGGAACTTTATTAGAACTTTATGGAACTTGAAGGTTCGGTCGGAACTTTATTTGAACTTTATGGAACTTGGAAGTGGTTTTAATCGTTGAATGCGGAACTTTTGGTTACTTGGGCATAAAATTAACGCTAGATTTGACGTAAATTTACACGCTATTTCGTGTAAATTTAAGCGCAATATCGCTTAAATTAGTAATATTGTATGCAACCTTGCAAACGATTTCGTTGTTTATGCCAGCTGTGTGTGTGTGTGTGTATTCCCTCTAACCCCCACTGGCCGGCAGTGTTATTATGGAAGAACTCTCTCTACAATGTCGCATGTATGGTCATTGTATACAGCTTTAGTCCGGGAGTTAGACGGTGATAGCTCTATTGCAGATCCAGCAACCCATTTCAGAATGTCTGGAGAGTCACGCCCATTCCGAGGTTACTTTCACTTACAATAAGCCCCGCATGTAAGTATTACCTCTACCAATTGGATATTAGTATTACACACACACTTCCAGCTTCAAAATGTTCTTTTGAATCCTGGCACGTCTTTAATTTATGTTTTTTTATTGTAAAAAGTATTTGGACTGGTCTCACCATGTTAATTTGATCCCCCAATTCATGGGTTACGTAGTTCCGAACACAAATTTTCTTGCACTGCCATGCCTGGGAAGATGTTCGCGTCTAGTGCTTTTCCTAGGAACCGTTCGCGGCCATCAGTTATACCCCGTCAATTCTTGAGCGAGGCATTTTTCAGATTAGTCGCAATCTCCGACACCGTCAAGAGACCAGCAGCCGAACACTTTTGCAGACGGCAACGTCTGCCATCGAATCACCATCAAAACTCGCGACGGACACATTATCAGCACTTGCCCAGGCTAATTCACCAATCGGACCGGATTAAAACTCGTCCGCGGTGACGAATCTCTCAATAGAACTACGCGCCGAATGTGTGGCATCCGAGCTCGGAGAACCGGGCTTACGGAAGGCAATCAAACCGACACAAAACAATGGAACTGAAGCTGCGACGTAGATTTTGGAGGTTAAATTAAAGGTCAACCGAATCACTCAAGGCGGACCTTTTTTCTTGCTTCTTTCTTTTGTCACTGCATGTTTATATTTTTCACTTGCTATATTCTTCTCTTTTTTAATCTAATTTGGCTTCAAAACTGGACACCTCAGCACAGGAAAAAAAAAACACGATGTATCACTAAATGATAACTTTATGAACACTTTAAACTAAATTTCAGCACACAAATTAACAAATTCAAGTCAAACAAAGTTTAATTCGTTGACGAAAAATACGCAGCAAATGAAAAACACGTCAGCTTTCAAGCGCGACCTACTGCGATCTCCTTCGTTGTTTATGCCAGCTGTAGCTCAAAATTAAACGAGGGGAGATTTTACACGATAGTTAACATTAAATTGTCCAACACATGTCCAACTAGTTGGTATCCACACCGGAGACGTACCTTTTGTCCTTCAGAACCTGCTCGACACCCTCCGACAGTTTGGCATGTTTTACTTTCTTATCATCATCGATAATCTCCATGATGTGATCCTTGAGGTTCTTGTTGAATACGTCTATCGCCACCGATGCCTTCTTGATGGTGATAACCTCGGAGTCCTCGTTGGAGCACATGATGTACCCGATTGGGACGCTGATCTCCACCGTCTTGAAGCTCTTATCCTTGACGAAGGCACGATTCACATAATTCACCCGGGAAGTTGTTCTTGGAGAAGACTCCCAACGTTTTGCCATCCTCGGATTCCTTAATCGCCTCCAGCAGCTTTTCAAAATTGGCCTTGTCTTTGTCGTTCTTATCCCGAACCAACAGCTTCACCGACGGAATGGCCTCCTCACTGTCCTTCTCGACCTGCTTCAAGAAGTCGATCTTCTTGCTGGTTAGGAAAAAGATGGGCTTTTCGCACTGCACCGTAATTGTATCGGTCAGCTCGTATCCCAGCAGCCAGGTCTGCAGCGAGGTGGATTTGCTGTAGATGGTTTCCTCGTCTACGTCGACCACCGTCAGAATGCAATCCACCTTCTGCAGCGAATCATCATGGGAAAACTCTGGTTCCTTCCAGTTGGCGTAGAGACGTTTTATTCGTCGGTAGAAGGAATCCTTATCGAGCACGATATTCGACATTTTTGGGGCAGTTGCGATTGTAAACCAAAACATTCAAACTGTCAAAAATAGCGGGTTGTTTGTAAAATATACTAATACTCGTATTTTACAAAAGATCGCAGCTTGCTCTATGACCGGCACTGTCGGCATAATCGGCACACCTGCGGCACACTGAGAAAAATGTTGACCCAGAATTGGTGTGCGGAGCGACCTACCTCTTGGCCAAAACACTACTTGGGCACACTCATTGGCACTGTTTGGCACCCATGGTTTGAAATATGCATGACTTTTAAAGTTACTGGCAACACTGTGTTATGTCCATTTGATTTAGAGTCTCATTTGGTCTAATAAAAAAACTTCAGCATTTAAAATCATTTAAATTTTCCCTAAAGTTATTAAAAAAAAAAACAGGTTTAACTCTTGGGACCCATCTTAATGAGGACCACCCATGATTCACGGGAACTAATCCGTATATTGATTTTACTTTGTAGCGCAGCGCAAATGTATGTATTTTATTTGATTTTTAATCTGATAAGGTTAATTGTACAACTGCGATGCAGGTGGATTTATCCGAACAAACATGAATTTAAACTTCAACGGTACCTACTTATCTGTTTGCAGAAACCATCATCGTCGGATGCGCCCAGACCGTCAGTCTACTGATTGGGAAAACCCCACCATGAAAATAAACAAATCTCTTAACAGGTACACAATTCAACACAAAGGCATTCCAGACATTCCTTTTTTCTATCAATGCAGAAGATGCTCCAATCTGACAGCATTGCTACGTCCATCGTTATCATCCAGATAGACACATGGCTGCTCGGAAATCAGATGCTCGGTCTCACTTATCGTCCATTACATCCCCTTCAAGTCTTGTTTTCAAACTAGGTCAATGTTAAATCTTAGATAATAATTAAAGTGTACGAATTTCGTGCAGTTTGCTGAAGTCATAAACTATGCTCACCTTCCTGATATGAACGGATATCCACTATCCGGTGATGCAGGAATTTCGTATAAATACCGGAAGAAGATTCAGTACTAAGACATTGTATTTCCGAAAACGTTCCGCTGTTCCGTAGTTCGCTTTAGGTGAAAATCATGAATCCAGTTGTAGTGTTGACAGCCATCATTAGCCTTGCACTCGCAGAAGGTATCGTCAATCTAAAACGACTCTATTACACTAGTACCATAACTGACTGCTAAAACTATTGCAGGTTTCAAGCTTGGATTCAATCTCGACGAGGATCGCCTCAAAATCGTCGGTGGACATCCGATTGGCATCGAACAGGTCCCATACCAGGTTTCGGTGCAGATCAAAACTAGATCATCCCAGAGGCACATTTGCGGAGGAGCAATTATAAGCGCCGACAAAGTGCTCACCGCAGCCCACTGCATTTCGGAGTGAGAGTTTCCAATCGGTTCCAATCGTTTGTCTCTTTCAACGCATTTTTTTCTTTCAGTAAGGGTAAATACGCTGTCCGAGCTGGCTCCTCAAACCATAATGATGGAGGTCAATTGGTTAACGTGGCTGACTATCACATCCATCCCGAGTTCAGTAATTACCACCTGACGAACGATATCGGGATGCTGCGACTCGAGATAAGTCTGTACTTCAGCCGGACGGTTTCGTTGATCAGCCTAGCATATTCTGAACAGTTTTACTCGCCCCAGTATGAAGCATTCATTTCCGGTTGGGGATCGATTTTGGTGAACAAAAGCAATTTTCTTTTGAAGCGCTAGAAGTCAATGCATATTTCCCTTTACAGTACGAATCATCGCTTTCCGATCGGTTGCAGGGAGTCTCCGTACCGCTGGTGAGTCACGAGTTGTGCTCGGAGCTGTATACTGACTTCAACAACATAACGGAAACGATGTTCTGCGCCGGGTTGGTAAAGAAGGGAGGCAAGGACTCATGCCAGGGCGATTCCGGAGGACCAGTCGCGCTGAACGGTTATCTGATTGGGATTGTTTCCTGGGGATACGGTTGTGCCGCGCCAAAGTATCCCGGGGTGTACTCGAATGTGTTTGCCTTCCGGAATTGGATCTATCCGCTGTTGTGAAAAGTTGATAACCATTCAAAAAGCTCTTTAATCAATAAACCAAGCTGAAATGCGACCGACTAGGGTGCTTCATTTTGAAAAAAAAAGAATTCGCATTCTGATCCCTCCAGTTTGATTCATAACCCGAACATATTGAGTCTGTGAAAAAATTGTAAAGATTGATGAAGACGCAAATGATTTGAAGTTTGTAATTAGCATTAGCATTAAGCAAGTTGCACAAATTCGTGGGTGGTACAAGTCCTAAACCATTTTATGTAAGTATTGCCACCTCCGCCCGTTACCGTATTGACCGAGATATGGTATTGATCTCGGCCTCTTAGATGAAAGTAGCAGTATCTCCAATAATCGAGAACAATAAAATAGTGTCTTGTGTTAGAATGGCAACCCTGGCAACCCTACTGTGAGGTGGTAACCTTTCTTTTTGGACTCTACTGTGACCGCCATTTTTCTTGCTATACTGTTTTTCATTCCTCATGTTATTATCAAAACAATCGGTCGAGAATTAAAACTTTTTTTTTTATTTAACACTCCGAATACGGTGGGTAAAAAACTTTACGCCGACTACGATGCCTCCGAAAAACGTGTAACGGCAAGTTTGCAATGGCACAACTTAGCCATTTCTTAATGAATTTCAAAAATTGTGGTACCTTTAGAATTCCTAGGGTTTCTAGATGATTGTGATTGCAAGAAACTTGAAAATAGAGTCGTCTACTTTTTTAAAAAGCGAAAAGAGTTGTTACACGTTTTTTTGAAAGGTGTGTTTGTAGGGTTTTGCAAGTGGCGCAAGATCTGTAATTTAGATTAATGGGCACAAATGTTCACAACTAGCCAGAATACAGTCATGGTTCCTATATATGGATCCTGGAGACAACGGAACGGTCCTCGAAATATCCGGAACATCCGTAAAAATGGTTAATCCATGATCCTGATCCTAGAGCTCTGCGGTTTTTTTGAAAACATTAGGAACTGTGATATAAACAAATATTTGGGATCGTGACATAAAATGTACCTGGATGGCCATGGGACCGTCCTCCGGAAGATCCGGAACATCCGTAAAAGTGGACAATCCATGAAACTGATCCTAGAGCTCCGTTTTTTTAACATTAGGATCTGTGATATAAGAATGAATTTGGGCCATGGGTCCAGATGGCCATGGGACCGTCCTCCGGAAGATCCGGAACATCCGTAAAAGTAGTAAATCCACGATCATGATCCTAGAGCTCCGCGTTTTTCTTATAAACATTAGGAACTGTGATGATAGAAAAAATTTGGGCTTGTGACATAAACATGAACCTGGATGTCCATAGGACCGTCCTCCGGAAGATCCGGAACATCCGTAAAAGTGATCAATCTATGAAACTGATCCTAGAGCTACGCGTTTTTTTAACATTAGGATCTGTGATATAAGAATGAATTTGGGCCATGGACCCAGATGGCCATGGGACCGTCCTCCGGAAGATCCGGAACATCCGTGATAGTGGTAAATCCACGATCCTGATCCTAGAGCTCCGTTGTTTTCTTGGATGCAAATCCCTCATCATTTCCCGAATCCACGACTCTCAGCTGGAGTTTGTGCAGGGAAAGCGCACACCGAAGGAGATCTGGACTGCACTGAGCAGAGTTTTCGAGCGACGCAGTATCGCCAGCCGCATGCATCTTAAGCGCAGGATGTTGGCATTGCGGTATAAGGGCGGTACCTTGCAGGAACACTTTCTGTGCTTCGATCAGCTAGTGCGTGAGTACCGTGGAACGGGAGCAGAGATGGAAGAACTAGATGTGATTTGCCATCTCTTGCTCACATTGGGTCCATCGTTCGACACTGTGGTTACTGCCTTGGAAACAATGCCAAAGGCAAATCTGAACATGGAGTTCGTTAAGTGTCGCCTCTTGGATGAGGAAACGAAGCGAAAAGGGATGCATAGGGAGCAAACGGTGAAGAACGACGCAGCTGTTTTTGTGGGCACCAAGCAGCCGAAGAATAAGAAGAAGTTTAAGTGCTTTGGGTGCAAGCAAGAGGGGCATAAATTGTCTGATTGCCCCACGAAAAAGGGACAGAAAAGTGGTGAGAAATCTCGCGAAAAATATACGCCGAAGGCGCATGCAGCGGAATCTGGACCGAGCGGTGTTTGTTTTGCTGCTGCGGGCGGTGATATTGAAGTGAAGAAGTTTGCTGAATAATTTCGTGTGCAGTGGTTTATCGATTCAGGATGTTCGGACCACATTGTCAACGACATAACGCTGTTTGAAAGCCTGAAGCCGTTGACGTGTCCGGTCGAGATCGCCGTCGCGAAACACGGTGAATCGATAGTAGCCAAACATTCCGGTACGATTAAAGTGGTGTCCAACGTCAACGGGACGGAAGTGGAATGCACTGTGAAGAACGTTTTGTTCGTGCCCGAATCCCGATGTAATCTTTTCTCGGTGATGAGGGTGGACGATGCGGGAATGCGAGTGACGTACGAAAACGGACGAGTAGTGATATATCGCGGAGCGGAGGCCGTCGCGATGGGTTCTCGTTGTGGAAAGTTGTATCGTCTCGATCTCTTCACGAAAAAGCGTAGCGTGAGTGATTCCATGTTGACGTGTGGGCGGATTCCGAAGAATCTTGAAGTGTGGCATCGTCGGTTCGGCCATTTAAATGCGCGAAGTCTCGAAAAACTGATCGCTGGAAATATGGTCACGGGAAGTGCAAAGACAGACAAGAGTGTTGTTATGTGCGAGTCGTGTGTCGTGGGCAAACAGACCCGGAAGCCGTTTCCAGAGCGTAGTGAGAAACGGTCGTCGCGAGTGCTGGAACTGATCCATTCAGACGTGTGTGGACCGGTTTCACCTGATGGTGTTGGAGGTGTACACTATTTTGTGACATTCATCGATGATTGGAGTCATTTTACGATGACGTTCCTGATGGAGCGCAAAAGTCAGGTGTTCGACTTGTTCCAACAGTATGAGGCGTTGGTTACCGCAAAGTTCGGTGTAAAAATAAGCCGATTGCGGTGAGTACCGTAGCAAGATGTTTGATGATTTTTGTAAGCGTAAGGGAATCCAAGTTGAATGGACGGTCCCATATACTGTTACCGGTCAATCACCGCCAACAATGGCTTTGAAGTCGATTGGCGATGTACAGTTTTTGCGAATATGATGTTTAACTGTAGGTAGCTAGTTTAGTTATAAATTCAAAACTTTAAGGTAGGCTCATCGGTTAGTTAAGTTTCTGTGTTTAGTATTATATTCCTTTTGCCAGTTTATCTTGTTTTTGTTTGTTAATTTATGTTTAACATAAATATTTAAACCCAGTTAATTAGTTGACCAGCAAATGTATATAATTATTTGTAAGACTTTGCATGTAGTCATAAGCATTAAGTACAAAAATAAAGCCATTGGACAAGCATAAACCGCGCTTGCGTCATTTGTCCTTTGTGCTCCCTGTAAATAAAAACAAAAGACGGCAAAGTCCGCACTAAATTTTAAACCAAAAAAAACACTACTAATCAACCCACCGTGCGCAAACGCAAAGCACAGTTGACATCTCCAACGGGCGAAATCGGAACGTTTGTCGATTTCCGCCTGTCAACGAGAAAGTGAGAGAGAAAGAGGGAGAGAGTGAAACGAGAGAAATAAGGGGATATGGCCTAGGAAAAGCAGAGGTCGGCAGAAAGTACGGGACGACAAAACGAACGAGACGCTTTTTGGACAAGTTTGTTCAGTGGAAAAATAGAAACCGAAAAGAAAAAAAAACCCAAACGTTCGGGTGGTGTGCGGAGTCGATTGAGGTGGAAGTGTCCGGAAAAAAGGCCAACGGGTCGTGACGGCTGAGCCAAGTTCGTGGAGCCGGAAGAGTAGTGCCAAGCCCAGATTGGGCTGAAGTTTCGCCACGCGGGAAGTGCCAGTGTAGCCCTCTGTCGGCCGAAGCAACCTGTGGGAGGAGCCAGTGAAGCCCGGAACTGTGCCTGGCCGAAAAGACCACGTGGGACTATCTGGACCGTGGCGGAACCGTATCTACCAGACGGAAAGCATATCGACCGGAGAAGTCGAGATCAACGTTCCCCTTGGTCGGACCGTTGACGTTCCATTGAGTGGACCACGTGGGAACTCCAACCTCGAAGAACCTCACCATCGACGGACGGGCTACAGGACCCTGGGTTAAGGTCAAGCAAGCCTTCTTTTCCTGGAATAGATCCGTTCTGGCATCCGTTCGGATTCAACCCCAGGTGCAGGTAGTCAGCCGAGTCCCCTTCGCCATTTCGGTGACTACACACGGTCGTGGAGCGGAGGAACGGACGCCAAGGAGGTTACCAGCCTGGTGAGGACCGGCGGGTTCCCCCCCCCCCTTTCGTGAGCACCCCTCCAACAAGCAAGCCGGATCAGGTATGTCAGCAGAAACACACTCTCTCTCGCACTTCAAGCATGTGAAGGGCCCCACCAGCAGCTGAACGGCCGCACCGATACCCTCTCCCTAAAATTCCTTCCTTCCCTCACCTCTCATATGTCCTAAATAAAATGTTAAAATAAATTTGTGACGTTTATTCTTTAATACTAGAGCCTTAGGTTTGCATGCGAGTCCTCTTCTAGTCGTGATTGGTTTGGTTGGTTGTCCGCTTTGTTCCCCAAGAGTCTGCCTGAAGTACGTGGGAAGCCGACCCAGAATTAAGAGTAACCCTGAGCTAGCCGTTACTTACAATACGCCCGAGCAGAATGGCGTCAGCGAGCGGATGAACCGCACACTCGTGGAGCGAACGCGGTCTATGCTGGAGGATTCAGGAGTAGACAAGCGGGTCTGGGAACCTGCCATCCAGACAGCGACGTACTTGGTCAACAGAAGCCCGTCAAATGCGATTGGTGCTGGTATGACTCCGTACGAGTTGTGGGAGGGACGAAAGCCGAATGTCTCAAAGTTACGAGCATTCGGATGTGCAGTCTTTGTTCACGTGCCGAAGGAGTTACGCAAGAAGTTGGATCCGAAGGCTTGGAAAGGTGTTTTCATCGGATACGCACATAACGGTTACCGGATTTGGAACCCGAAGGCGAAGCGAATCATTCATGCGCGGGATGTGGATTTCGTTGAAGCAGAGGGTGGTCAAACAGACGTTGAGAAGAAGCAATCACCTGGTGGATTCGCGTTACCTCCAGTAGGTGATGAAGAGTCGGACGAAGGCGATCGGGAAAGTGTTCAGGAAAGCGAATCGGAGGATTCTGACAATGAAGCAAGCGGAGGTTCCACCGAAGCCGTTTCAGAAGCGTCTGATGATGAATTCGGAAGTTTTCGTGACGAGGACGGATCGGAGAAGAATGCTGGCCCGGCGCCGGATATCAAAGTGGAATCTGGGAGACCACAACGGGAAAAGCGCCCTCCTTCCTGGCATCAGGACTACGATGTAGATTACGCGGCATATGCTTTGAGCGCCGTAGAACAGACGATTGGTGCAGATGGAAACAGGCTGTCGATGAAGATATGAATTCCTTGCTGAAGAATGGAACCTGGAAACTGACGCAGCTACCAGCAAACCGAACGCCGATAACGAGCAAGTGGATTTTCAAAATAAAGCGTGGCTCGAATGGAGAACCCGACCGGTTTAAGGCTCGGTTGGTGGCCAGAGGTTTCAGCCAGAGATACGGTTTCGATTACTGCGAAACGTATTCTCCGGTGGCTAAATTTGACACCCTGAGAACAGTGTTAGCTCTGGCAAACAAGGAGAAGATGACGATCCACCAGATGGACGTTAAGACGGCGTTCCTCAACGGCCAGCTCAAGGATGAAATATTTATGGTGCAACCTGAAGGCTTCGAGAACGGCAAAGATCAAGTCTGTCGCTTGCAGAAATAAATCTACGGATTGAAGCAGGCCTCGAAATCGTGAAATGATCGTTTCCATGGGTTCGTAGAGGGTCGCATGGGTTTCAACAGGAATTCAAACGACCAGTACATTAGAATGATCGGGAGCGAGAAGGTGATTACCGTACTGTACGTGGATGATGTCATTGTTGCTGGAACATCGCTGAAGGCGGTAGAAGTAGTGAAGCGTTGCCTTGCCTCTGAATTCGAGATGACCGATGCGGGCGAGATCAAGAGTTTCTTAGGGATGCGAATCGATCGTGATATGGAAGCAGGAGTGTTGCACATCAGTCAGCGGTAATACTTGGAGGATCTACTGCATCGTTTCGGTATGGAGGAGTGCAAACCGGCATCTACGCCCATGGAGTGCCGCTTGAAATTACCGAAGGGTGAGGAGGATAAACGTACGTCAAAGCCGTATCGAGAATTTGTGGGTTGCGTAACTTATGCTTCGCTCACAACAAGACCGGATCTGTCGGCGGCAGTGAATTTTTTCAGTCAATTCCAGAGCTGCCCCACGGATGAACATTGGACGTACTTAAAGCGTATCTTGCGATACATAAAAGGGACTCTGGATGTCGGATTGATGTATCGTGCTGATTTGAAGGCTCCGATGGTCGAGATTTTCTCCGATGCGGACTGGGCCAATGATCCAGTGGACCGACGTTCCGTCAGTGGTTGTGTATTCAAAGTTGCTGGATGCACTACCGGTTGGATGACGCGTAAGCAGCAAGTGGTCTCACTATCCTCTACGGAAGCTGAGCTGAGCTGCTTGTTACGAAATTTGGCTGCTTCGTCTGCTTCGTGATTTGGGAACGGTAGCTGAACTTCCGGTGAGTTTCGTCCACAATAAGGATTGCGGAGGACTGCAAGAACCACGGACGGCTGAAGCACGTGGATGTCAAATTTCATTTTCTTCGTGATTTGGTGAAGAATGGACGGATTTGTATTCGGTACATTTCGTCCATGGAACAACCGGCGGACATGATGACCAAGAGTCTTCCAGCGTCTGCCCTTCATCGTCACCGGGCTAATGTCGGTTTGGTGAGTTGCTGCGGTTGACGGAGGCTGTTAGAATGGCAACCATGGCAACCCTGGCAACCCTACTGTGAGGTGGTAACCTTTCTTTTTGGACTCTACTGCGACCGCCATTTTTCTTGCTATACTGTTTTTCATTCCTCATGTTATTATCAAAACAATCGGTCGAGAATTAAAACGTTTTTTTTATTAAAGAGTGTTTTTGTGTTTCTCTTCACTTTTGCCCTTCCGAAATCATTTTATCTTGTATGCCTCTGCCATGGCAGGACGGCGAAGCAATCGCTGCGTTTTACTTCTATCCGTCTCCGTAATTATCACAACAATCAACACCTTGGGGGGATCCGACATTTTCAGCGTTTTGTTATGGTCGAGGATATGGTTGCCAGTAAGCAGATTTTTTTTTGATGAAGTACAAGGTAGCAGTGTGGATAACCCCATGCAGTATGTCCTAGTTTTTTGCATTTTGCACAAGGTACATACAAACGAACAGGTATTCAGATCTCCCCAATCGCGACGTAAATAGGAAATACTGAACTGGCGAAGGTCACACGAAACGAGTCCGATACCGTGTATGCCTTCTTCGTTCCAACGAGAGACAGTGAATGCATTTGAATGCAGTCTAGTATTGCATTTTAGGGGAGTTTAGGGTTCTTGAAGACACCACCCCCGCCTTTCAGGAAATCATCGCGAGTCATACTCTCATCGGAAGACAACTCCCTCGATTTCAACATCGCTACTGGGAATGTACACTCGATACTAAATCCAAAAAAAGCTCAAAGGCAACAATCTTGTTTATCTGCAGTTTGTTTGGCCTTACCTTCATAATCTCAGTAACGATTTGATTGCGCTGGATGAACTTGGTCTTAAGAATTGTCTTGCCAAATTTTCCGGTACCAATTTTCCGGAAATCTATGGTATTGATGAATGTTGCATTCTTGCCTCTGTCTTGTTGACGGTAAATCGACAGAACAGAAGTCGGAATTTCCAACCGATTAGGAACCTCTGTGACGATTATCATTTAAGTTCACCAATCGGCGTAGTCTAGCCACTGGACGTGACGTGAACCGATCAGTTCCAAGTAAAAACAAATCGTTTTTTTACCCCAAATCATCGGAATAATGTACCTGTGCCGGGTGATATCTCGTCAACAGTAGTGTATGCCTGCAAAATCGAACGGATAATGACGACTTACTTAGCGAGGGCGCTTATCTTGCGTTGAACCCGCTATCAGGCAACAGTCGTCAATGAAGGCATGTCAAATCTGATGTGATCTGATCACCAACTGGAAGAGTAATTGGCACGCTATAAAACCATCGCCACCAATCGGTTGTCCAATAATAATCCAAACAGCAGGCAGAACGCAACAGCTACCGAACCGGTCAGGGTTGTGAATTTAGGAGAAAGATGAGTTGTTCTCGAATTTTAACGGCGGCAGTATTTATTCTACTAGGAACGTGTTGCAATGGAGCGCCACGGTTGCGAATCTTCGAGAATACACCGGAAAATAGTGAGTGTTGTGATATACATTGGATGTGCGAAATGTGTGAAAAAATAAAGTGTTGAGGTCAAGATTCAGTGACCATTTCGATAGTTTTTTCCAAAGCCTCCATAGTTGGTTATCATAGGAAATGCTCTGCAACACCGATAGCTTCTTTTGGGCAAACGCAAATAGTTCTTTCCGATCGACCTTCTCACACAGTTAACCGATCAAAGCGATTAGGTGTTCATGCTTGTGAATGCCACAATCCAGAGCTTGGTTAATGATGGCAACTGTGATCTCGAATTGCCCCATTTGAACACGGTTTCCGAGTCAGGTAACGGCCACGTGGTCTTCGATCTACACATACAGTTCAATAGCTAGCCTCACTATATCGATGGTTAAATTTCTACGTCTTTGCATGAAAAAATGGTTTTTGTAATACTAAAACGTCGAAATGCTTATTAAGCCTTAAAATCATGCTCTTTTACTGCGAAGCTACTCACATTTACTGTCCTGAGGTAAGTCCAAGTCCTGGGGCGAGGTCCAGCGAAGGTGTTTGTGAATTTGTCCACACGATCCGTCCACATTGAGCTCGTGAGCGAAGGGGGACATATAACGCAACGACCTTCAAATGAGCTTCACACACCTTGCATTGAGTGTACCAAATGCTTAAGCAGGAGGTCTCTGGGAGGTTGCGGTGAAGTCCGCGAAGATCCATCAAGGAAATTGGCAATACCAGTCTTGCCTACGAGGACAAGCTCACTAGACTGATGCAAAATTTGTAATTTTTGCTCCACAGTGCTCAAACGGTTCCAAATTTGGTGCTGATTAGCCTCCCAAAATTTGAACTCATTTAGTGAGAAACTGACTTGGCACAAACCATTTGAAGTTTATATGGGAATTACTACGAAGAAACCATAATTTTGGTTCATATCTATCTCAAAATTCACTAGTTCACTCAGCTACAACTTTGTTAAACACCACTTTTCGATCAAATGTAAGGAACAAAAAATATGAATGATTCAAGTAACTGATGTCTTATGATTATGCTCAATCAACTGTTCAGCAGGCAACATTGGTGTTTATGGCGCTTAGAATAGAGGACAAAAATCATGGCTACTATGCCACACTGAAGAATACAGTGTTGCCCACAATACAGCTGCTTAATCTTGCCTTAAGATTATCAATCTCTGAAACAATTAATAACTATTTAATTTGACGTTTGGCTGAAAAACGATTTTCTGCAAAGTTGTAGCTGATAAAAATGCCCATAAGAATAGTAAAAGAATGTGTTAACAGTACAATATGTAAAAAGGCTAGAAGACAATGAACAAAAAGTTTTGTTTTCCCATAGTAATTTCCATATAAACTTCAAATGGTTTGTGCCAAGTAAGTTTCTTATCAAATGAGTTTAAACTTTCAGAGGCTAATCAGGACCCGATTTGAAACCGTTTGAACACTGTGGAGCGAAAATTTCAAATTTTGCATCAGTCTAATGCTCACCTTACTAGCCCAGGTTGAGATGTGTCTCAATTTGTGACCATTAACACCACTGTAATCGGAACCATCGAATCTGGAAGCCCTAACACCCGGTCACATCCTGGTAGGTTCAAACCTCCAATCCATGCCCGAAGCAACATTGGTCAACATTCCCGAAAACCTGCTCAACCATTGGGAACCAACTCAGTGCCACCTTCAACGAATCTGTGCACGTTGGTACCCGGAATACCTCCAGCAGCTGCAATCCAGGGCTGTTCAAGGCTGAAAATCGTCCAGGAAAATCGAGATCTTACGGCTTGCCGTGATCAAGACGATTGCTCAATGGCCCCTCGGCAAAAATTGGTCCATAACGAAGTGGGTTTTCGGATGACCACACGAGGAGAAACCAACGAGACCGACGGAACTAACAAGTTCAAAGAAAACGTGTTTATTCAAGAAGAGAGTAACATGGAATGAAATACATCTCTTCTAACTTTTGGCGGAATATTTTACCAACTGCCCTAGGCAGTTTGTTCCGGTTTCTCCAGGTTTTTTTTTCGATTCACACTGCATCAACTTCTCCCGGATGATTTTTCCAACTTCCCCTGGAAGATTCTTCCGACCTCCACAGAAAGTTTCTTCTGACTTCGATCGGATGGCTCTTCTCACTTCCATCTGGCTTCCACTGAAAGAGTCTTCCATCTTCCTCGGATTTTTTTTCCGACTGCCCCGGAAGTTTTTTTTTGTGATTTCCCACCTGCTGACTCTTGCGAACTTCACCCATGAAGTCATTTTAATTTCTTCGTGAGTCTTTTATCTAACTCCACAGGATCATTGTTCTGACTTCACCCTGAAGATTCATCCAACTACCTCCTGAAATCCCTCTGGCAGGCCGTATATATATATTTTTTTTTTCGACTTACCACGTTACTTCCTGCCAGTTTCCTTCGGAAATATTCTCCAAATTCCCCTAGAAGTATCCCCTAGCTTTTTCCAGAAGATTTATGAGACCACAGCACTGATCAGACCCTCGTCTTCAAGCCTCAGTCTCCTATCACTTCCTTCCCACTTAACGGACGGTCTTTTTTTTTATACACGGGGAAATCTGCTAACAGACACCTGAGAATGAACTCAGGGTGTGGGGATGGGAGAATTGCACTCCCGACCCACTAAGCCTTACCCTGTGCGCTTGACCCTTGACCTCCCCGGAACCGCCCGAAGGCATTACTTCGTGGGAGGGGGCGCTATAGCGCTATGGCGCTTCTCTAGCAACACTCTATCGATCTAGTCGAGCAGTAGGCAACTGCTGCTCGGCACGCCACTGTCGTTGTAGTTCCGAAACTATGTGGGTGACCGCAGTCACCACCGCGCTCCAGTTCTCGGTGGTACCACACATCCTAGGGATGATGTTATCCGGACTGGTATCCGCTCCGCATATCGCTAGCATAGCGCTCGATACTGGCTCGAAGCGTGGACAGGCGAACACAACGTGTTCGACCGTCTCTTCGACGCCAGCACACGCAGGGCAGGTGTCCGAACCTATGCAAGTAACTCCTAAAGCAGCCATGGCCTGACAGAAACTGTGTCAGGTGGAAGTTTACTTCCCCGTGGCGCCTGTTGACCCACCTTGATACGGAAGGTATCAAGCGGTAGGTCCACCTCCCCTTTGTGGAGTTTTTCCACTCCGACTGCCATCTCGCAATCGACACCGCTCGCGCGTTGTTGCGCACCCCTCGAACGGTCCTCGCGTTATAGCACACCACATCCTCCTTAATGATGAGGCCGATTGGCATCATCCCTGCTATGACACAGACGGCCTCCCTCGAGATGGTGCGGTATGCACTGGCCACCCTCAAGCACATTAGCCTGTGTGTACTCTCTAATTTCCGCCTGTGACAGTCAATATCCAGTACCGCAGCCCACGCAGGGCCGCCGTATCTGAGGATAGATACTACGACCCCAGCGAGGAGCCTGCGCTTACTGGCATTCACTGCCGAGCTGTTTGACATCATGCGGGATAATGCCCCCACAGCCGTCGACGCGCTCTTGCAGGCGTACTCGACGTGGCAGCCGAAGCTGAGCTTATCATCGAGCATAACCCCCAAGAGTTTCAGAGGGCGCACATACCTAATTGTGCTTCCGCCGACTGTCAACGTCGCATGCTGTACCGACATGCGATTGTTGACTACGACCACTTCCGTCTTGTGATGGGCAAGCTCCAGTTTCCTGGATCTCATCCATTCCTCCACAAGCTTGACGCAGTGAGCCGCTGTCAGCTCTACCTCCTCGAGGGATTCCCCGTAGACTACCAGCGTGACATCGTCTGCAAAACCTATAATTTTCACGCCTACCGGGAATTTCATCCTCAACAGTCCATCGTACATGACGTTCCATAACACCGGGCCCAGTATGGAGAAAATCAGAATGTTGCACAGCCCTCCGGAAATTTGGAGCTGGTGTAGCGAGCGGGCTATCGCCCCCCAGCACGCGCTGTTGAACGCGTTCTTCACATCTAAGGCTACCACCGCGCAGTAACGAATGCCCCTTCGTTTCCGGTGGACCACCTCTGCCGTCTGCATGACGTCGTGAATGGCTTCCACCGTGGATCTACCCTTACGGAACCCGTACTGGCTGCTTGACAGGTCGTCTACACCTTCAGTGTAAGCCGACAACCTGTTGAGGATGACCCTCTCAAGCAGTTTACCAGCTGTGTCCAGCAAACAAATGGACTTGTATGCTGACGGGTCCCCAGGGGATTTTCCTGGCTTCGGGAGCAGCACCTGCCTCTGCCGCTTCCACGCATCTGGGAAGATGCCTTCATCCAGACAGGTCTGAAAAACAGAACGGAACATGTCTGGATTTTCCGCAACGGCCGCCCTCAGAGCCACAACCGGGATCCCATCTTGGCCAGGGGCCTTGCTCACCACCAGCGACTTGGCAATATCGCTAAGTTCTCTTTTTGTCACTCTAGACACTTCTCCCTGACCCGCGACTGGGATCCGCGGCCAGGAGTCTACGTCCCTACGTGGAAACAAGAACCCAACGATCGACGCCAGCATCGCCGGCGATCTCTCCAGGGGTGCCACCACGCCACGGGTCTTGGCCATGACCACTTTGTAGGCATCCCCCCATTGGTTCGTGTTGGCGCTTTGGCATAAGCTGTCAAAGCACGCACGCTTGCGTCTGGCGATCTCTTTATTGAGGGCCGCCTTAGCCGCTCGAAGAGCTACACGGCGTTCCTCCCGAGATTCAGTCGTACGAGCTCGTTGCATCCTCCTTCTCGCCTGGAGGCAAGACGCCCTGAGGATAGCAATCGACTCGCTCCACCAGCACACCGGTCTATGGCCATACCTGGGATAGGCTCTCCTAGGCATGATTGTATCGCACGCCCTTGTCAGCGATGCTACCAGTTCTTCCCCCGTCAGATCCGGGGTTATTCGCTCCCGCCTCAGTGCTTCGTCGAAGACCTCTTCATCGAAGAACGACGTCCGCCAGCCTCGAGCGCAGGAAGGATTTCCTCCTGCCACTCACCTCTCACCTGGCCCCACACTGTAGCGGATCGCCTGATGGTCACGATGGGTGTAACCCTCATCGACCCTCCAGTGTAGGTTGCCCTTCAAACACGGGCTGCAGTACGTCACATCAATGACGGATTCTGCACCATTCCTTCTGTAGGTATTGACCGAGCTGGTGTTGGTTAGTACAACATCCAGTTTGGCCATGGCCTCCAGTAGGATGCATCCTCTCTGGTTGGTGTGGTGGCTGCCCTACTCCACCGCCTATGCGTTAAAGTCGTCCGCAATGACCACCGGTCATAACGGACGGTCTTTTTTTTTTTTTTTTTTTTTTTTATACAGGGGGGAATCTGCTCAGACACCTGAGAAGGAACTCAGGGTGTGGGGATGGGAGAATTTCACTCCCGACCCACTAAACCTTACCCTGTGCGCTTGGCCCTTGGCCTCCCCGGAACCGCCCGAAGGCATTACTTCGTGGGAGGGGCCGCTGTAGCGCTATGGCGCCTCTCTAGCAATACTCTAACGATCTGGTCGGGCAGTAGGTAACTGCTGCTCGGCTCGCCACTGTCGTTGTAATACCGAAACTATGTGGGTGACCGCAGTCACCACCGCGCTCCAGTTCTCGGTGGTACCACACATCCTATGAACGATGTTGTCCGGACTGGTATCCGCTCCGCATATCGCTAGCATAGCGCTCGATACTGGCTCGAAACGTGGACAGGCAAACACGACGTGTTCGGCGGTCTCCTCGACGCCAGCACATGTGGGGCAGGTGGGAGTACCTGCATGTCCGAACCTATGCAGGTAGCTCCTAAAGCAGCCATGGCCTGACAGGAACTGTGTCAGGTGGAAGTTTACTTCCCCATGGCGCCTGTTGACCCAGCTTGATACGGAAGGTATCAAGCGGTAAGTCCACCTCCCCTTTGTGGAGTTTTCCCACTCCAATTGCCATCTCGCGGTCGACACAACTCGCGCGTTGTTGCGCACCCCTCGAACGGTCCTCGCGTCATAACACGCCACATCCTCCTTAATGATAAGGCTGATTGGCATCATCCCTGCTATGACACAGACGGCCTCTCTCGAGATAGTGCGGTATGCACTGGCCACCCTTAAGCACATTAGCCTGTGTGTACTCTCTAATTTCTGCCTGTGGCAGTCAATATCCAGTACCGCAGCCCACGCAGGGCCGCCGTATCTGAGGATAGATACTACGACCCCAGCGAGGAGCCTGCGCTTACTGGCATTCACTGCCGAGCTGTTTGACATCATACGGGATAATGCCCCCACAGCCATAGACGCTCTCTTGCAGGCGTACTCGACGTGGCAGCTAGACGGACGGTCTAGAACCTTGCGCTAGTACCATAGAGGTAACTCTAAGACCAGAAGGTCCCGAAGAAACGTGCTCAACTTTTTAGCTCAGCTCTGTTGCTCTCCTCGGTCCCAAGCTAATCGATGCACCCCTCGAAACATAGGAAAATCCACGAGCCCCTCATTTTATCTGTCAAACTTTCATAGCGAATCAAAACAAACATAGTGTATTTCGTCCAGGATAATGTTACCCTACGTTGTCTTTTAATTTGGTCTTCTTTCGGCTCAGGTTGACACACCGGTTACTATGCCCCGAGAGGCAATTTGCCTGCTCGGGGACTCAAAACGAACTATGTATTTCACAATATTCTTTGGTTTAAATATACAAACATCACAATAAGGTATTTCATCACATCCAATTACAATCAAAACAATAACAACAAAAAATGACCAAAACAAAAACATCCACGTCTATAGTGTGAAAAGTGATGGCTGCACCATACTGCAATTCGCACTGAACAGACCGTTACCATGGCACGGGGGGGCTGTTATTATTTTCTCATTCTAAATTTAAATATAGTAGAGCCCGGTGCCGATGGTACGATCGAACACTAGCATTTCGACTAGAATGGGATACGTTAATCGATTTGCTTGAGACCAATAGGCTAGTCAAGTAGTGAGACAATTTAAAAAAAAATCTGGGGAAATTTGGAAGAGGCTTCCAGGAAAAGTTTAAAGGAATTTCTAAGATTCATAAAACACAAGCAAAGGCAGTCACATAGAAATCTGGGGAAACCGAAAGATACTACTACAAAAATTCCGAAGATTCATCCGTGGGAGGTCAGTAGAAACTTCCGTCGTGGAAGTTTCTGTTTCCCCAGGAAGATTCTACCAGCTTACACAAGATGATTATTCTGGCTTCGCCAGAAAGCATTTGTGCCTTCCTCCGAAGTTTCTTCTCGCTTCCAGCGTCTTGCTAACCAGATCACTCTTCCTTTCCACCCACAGTCGCTCGCTTGAAGAACCTGAAACCCAACGAACTTGCCGAAGAGCTAAGCGGTCAATTCGAAGGTGACATGATTCTCACGGAGGAACAGTACTCGGAAATGTTCCGCAAAAACGGAATGGTCGACGAGCGGTATCGATGGCCGTCGAATATTGTGTTCTACGAAATCGAAGAACAATGGTTCAACGAAGATCAAATCCAGTACATTCTGAAGGGCATGCGGTTGATTGAGACGGTGTCCTGTGTGCGGTTCCAGCCACGTGATCCAGACAATTCCGATTACATCCGGATCCACGGAGATGGATCGGGCTGCTCGGCCACGGTGGGACACATTGGTGGCAGCCAGAACATCAAATTGCAGCCATATCCGCTGGATAGCGGATGCTTCCGGTTGGGTAGTATCGTTCACGAAATGATTCATGGGCTGGGCTTCCGGCATATGCAGAGTACGTACAACCGAGACGATTACGTGCAGATTGTGTGGGACAACATTGAACCCGGAAAGGAGAACAACTTTCTGCTGTACGATGCGGATAAGGTAAGCAACTTTGGAACGGAGTACGACTTCGGAAGTGTGATGCACTACAGCTCGACGGCGTTCAGCATCAACGGACAGAAGACGATCGTGGCATTGAAGGTAAATTTTCTTATTTATAAATGAGCATACAGTGCCTTAAATTTATACTTGTTTCAACCTTTTTTGCAGGCCACCGAGGACCGAATGGGCCAACGGGATGGAATGAGTGAGAAAGACATTTTCAAAATCAATCGAATGTACGGATGCTTCCCAAAAAAGAAATGAAACATGACAACTTAGTTACGTATTGCTACTTCATCCGAAAGCCCCATTGAACCAGTAGTCAAGCAACGAACTGAAGTTTAACTGTGTATTTTGTTTACAAATCTACAAATTACGTTTACTGCACAGCTTGCATGCCTAATTTAGGGCTGGGCTTCTTTAATTACTTACACTGTAGTCTGAAAGTGTCGTACCAAATAATTTATTAACTGATTTGTTACTTTGTGTTAAGTTAGGGTAGATGATTCAAGTTCAGATTCCAATATTTGTCAATCATTTGAACGGCAGTTTAAATAAGAATTAAGCAAAGAACGACCCCATTAGAAAATCAAAACTTCCTGTTGCAGTCATTTATAAAGCAGGATAGGTTGCTGTTGCCCGTAATCCTCGATCTTGTTAGCCGTGAAAGTATATCAGTTTTAGCTAAGAATTATGGTAAGCTACTAATTCTACTTATCCTAATCCAATCATCGAAAATGATAGGATTAAACAACTTTCAGATCAAAGCAGTAATTTATGGTTTATTAACTTTCTGCCTCTGTCAAACGTACGGATTACCCGATTACGAGCTCAGCGGTAATTTCGAAGGCGACATGATACTTTCCCCACAACAGGAATTGGCTATATACGGTATAGCCCGGAACGGACTAATTTCCCAGGATTATCGATGGCCAGACAATACCGTTCCGTACCGCATCGAAGCTGATGACTTTAGTAAGAACTCCATCGACATCCCTCGGACAACGCTCTCATGCGGACTATCTTCCATCTCTTTTACAGCCGACGAGCAGGTCGACTACATCCGCCAAGCCATGGACGAAATTGAAAGCGTGTCGTGTGTCAAGTTCGCTGTAGCCGATGACGATGCAACGGAATACGTTCAAATTATAGGTACCAAACCGGGGTGTATTTCTTCGGTCGGTAATCGTGGAAAGAAGCAGTACATCAACTATCAACCGAACGAGCTAGAAGAAGGATGCTTCCGTTTGGTAGCACTCATGCACGAGTTGCTGCACACGCTTGGGTTCTTCCATATGCAGAGTGCTCCCGACCGGGATGATTATCTGGTAATCGTGTGGGAGAACATCAAAACGGGCCAAAAGCACAACTTCAAAAAGTTCAATTCCAGTGCGGTGACTGGTTTTAACGTCGAGTACGACTATGACAGTATAATGCACTACCCGGGGATTGCATTCAGTAAAAATGGGGAACCAACGATGATACCGATTGATGAAAGTATAGAACTCGGAAGGCACGATCGCTTAAGCACAGGAGATATCACGAAGATCAATCGTATGTATAGTTGTCATGAGGACTAGTAAATGTTCGAGGGTTGATGAACGACAGAGTTAATTTATATGTTGTCTAATAAATGTATAATTGTTCATATCGACAATAGAGTGTGTCAACTTAACAACCACCTGATTCCCACTGCTCTTTCGATCTGTATTGAGGTCCCCAAAAACTGTGCTAGATTTGATCGCAGATGGCTACGATCTGTCTCGCCATAATTTCTCCTAGGGGTGATTCATCTTTGACATAAGACGCTTACCATTTTTTATGGCACAGTTGTAGAAGGCTATGATTTATTGAATTATTTTCAAAAGTGACTGGAACATTTTCTCTCCGGACAGACAAAGGAAGAAGTCCCGCAGGATAAGAACCAGCCCAAGCAGAGCCAGGAATATCAGAACTACCAAATTTGCATGTTTGTCTACATATTGTTCTATGTTTGGGTGCATAACAGTTTTAGGTAATTAATCATTTTGTCAAGCTTCTGCATTCATGTTCCATCAGATGTCACTGCTGTTGTATGCGGTGACATCTATGGAAAACTACTCATAATCGGTTTACAGAGGACAGTGCAGTGCAGTGCGATTTAAATGATCTTTATTTCTTGTGTTTGTGTGGTTTACACAGGGGGAACGACACTCATTCTGATGCATTTTATTTTACCATGCTTGCCTGTAAACATAATGTAATTGAAGAGAGTTTTTTGAGTTTGTCGTCTTGACGAAGTAAAAGTAAGGATTAAAAAAAAATATGGGATTCCTAATGGGATTGCATTGGATGCGAGGGTGCTTTAAATTGTCATGGGGATGCGTGCAACTGAAATGAAACAGTACGAAAGAAAAACATCGAAGTAGCCATTTTAGTCAATGCTCAGTGAAAAAATAATCTCGTTTGTTTCTTACCGGATCCAAATCCATGAATGTTGTTAGTGTAAATTGTTAATTCTCAAGCGAAAATGGTAAGTAAAAAGTTAAATTAGAATCTAATTGTGCGGTAAAGAGCTCGGAAAAAAATCGTTCCCATATTCGTGAACGGCAGCCGTGCACCATCGATTAACGACCACGCGTAGAAATAAATGTACATAGTGAACTAGTTCACGGCTCTCGTTCACGAATATGGAAACGGATTTTTTTGCGGGAAGGAGATCAAAAACCCAAAATGGCTCCCATGCGCTATCAAGACGACCTCAGAGTAATTTATTACAATGACGAATAAGAGAATCATATTTTTGATCGGTCGAAATAGCTTGGAGAAGGTTAAGTAATTGATACACATATACAATTTAATTAATCCTTATAAGGATGAATTCTGGGCAGCGTTGAGCAAAGATACTGGAACGGTACCTGAAGGTGTAAGAACGGTTCTCGAGTATACGGAATACGTGAATGCAGCACTGGGAGAGTTAAGAGTAAATGAAATCGCTGAAATTGAATCAGACATACGCCGGGTTTCATTCTCAACCGCTCCGCCGAATCTTCAAAAATGCTTTACAAAGTTTGGAAACGACCCTGCTGAGTTTCGATTTTTGGCTGGAGAGCGAGCTATCCTAAAACTGATAGCAGCTGCAGTTAAGCGTCGAGGATTTAACCATTATTTTAAACGAACTAAAACCCGTGGGTACGAGACAGAACACTGTCGAAAATGTCTCTGGATCCAACGTAGATAAAGAGGACCTGTACAACAAAATAACAGGATATTATCAGAAGAGCTTTGTAGCATATTATTACAGAACAGAATAGAATACTATGATACAGAATGAAAAAATGTCTTTCAGATTTGATGGATCTTCGGAACCAAGCTTGCAATTGCTCATTACAGCTAAAATGCTATTTTTCGTTATAATCAAACAATGAGATACTATAATGATAATTTTTATTTGTAAGATGCAAGAAGAGGTGGTAAAGATTGTTTGTGACACATAAAATTTGTCAATTTTGCTTTCAGAAGGTCACAACTAGCGATCTTATGATCGCCGATTGCTCGCTCATCGCGTTGCTCATCGTTACAGCTAATCACTAGTTGTGACCTTCTAAAAGCAAAATTGACAAATTTTATACGTCATATACAATCTTTACCACCTCTTCTTGCATCTTACAAATAAAAATTCTCATTATAGTATCCCATTGTTTCATAAAAACGAAAAATAGCATTTTAGCTGTAATGAGCAATTGCAAGCCTGTTCAGAACAAGCTGTGCTGCTTGAAGCTATAAGCAAACTCCGCGTTACAGTGTGTAACGAAGATGGCATCCGGATTGCGAAAATTCAATGTTTTTTCTGCATGCCAAAACAAAATTGTATTAAGTGCTACCAGGAAAGATTAGGACACTGAAAAATGTACACAATTGCAATTTCAACTCAAAGTCAAAAGCGCCCGATTGGAATGATATTGGAAAGAACACCAACGAACCTAAACACAAACAGCATGGGTGACGTAAGTTACAAACATGACGGATCAGTATCAAAATTAGATGTATTTGCTGACTCAAACGCTAATATCCCAAAACGCGGCTGTTTCGACACTGAACTCGACCCTACATTAGAGTTAGCAACGAACGAATCGAATTTGAGCGAAGAAGTTCTTGAAGAATATGAGACTGTACTGTTTGAGCAGTTCGAAGATGCTTCTATGCAGAAATTGGTATGATCTGATTAAGTCACCTCCTCCTCTTGAATGTATTCTCTTCTCGATTACTATTTTAAAAACTTGTTTTTAACTTTTAGCTTCTGAATGGATCATTCGGCGATCAACAGCTTGAAGATGAAAATTTCAAACAATATATGGTAAGATCTCTGTGATTCATCATTATTTTATAAATTGAATTTATAGCTTTAGCACGAGCAACCAATGACACACTCGACCGAGATCGAAAATAATCACCAGTCGCAACTCTATAACCAGGAAGATACTGACCCACTATATCACCAACAGCAACAGGAACAGCAGTCATACAACGAAGCAGACCAAGCTGAGCAAATGGTTGGCAACTTCAACGAAGATGACATTATTGAGGAAGAGTTAAACATCTAGGCCAACGATGAGGCCAACCATAGCACCACAAATGAATCTACGGCCGAGATCGTAACTAACTCTCTAAAGATAATGTCGAATGTATCAAACCGTTTCACTGGAGCCAACGCTCATGGTATGAGGTATAAGTCTCTGGAAAAAGAATTCTTCGCCTACAGGTTATTTAAATTTGATTGGGGGCGACCCCGGCGTAGTGGTTAGCATCCATACCTCTCACGCCACGAGTTCAAATCTCACCCCCGGACAAGTCACGAATGACTCAAGAGCGTTAAAATGACTAGAATAAAAAAAAAAGATTTATCTAATTACTTTTACTAATGGTTGTGCATTTGTTATAGATTTTTTCAAGGAGGTAAAGAGCTCTACGAATTTGACCGAGTGAATTCCCCTTCGCCGCACGTTCGGACTATCCAACGCTATATAAAAAACAAGCAGAGAATTTTCAAGAAGGTTGATGGTAGCTGAACTAAAAAAATATTTAGTCACTAACGGTTACCCATCAGTCGTTTGCTGGAGCGAAGACGCTACACGGATCACTGGTGGCGTTGAATACAATGTTTCTTCAGACCAGTTGACAGGACTAGTAGCACCACTGGATGCAACGACCGGAATGTCCATGACATCAGTTTTTGATTGCTCTTCACCGCGACAAGTATTAAACCACATGAACAAATGTCCGGTCG